TCTTCAGTTTGGACAATCAAAAAAAATATGCCAATATCCTTGATATTTCAAGCACTTTTAGTTGACATGAGAAGTACGAGTACAAGTAGTTTGTTTATTGTTATTGCTTGCAGTTTTGGAAGAGTTTACCTTTGGAGGTGGAATGGTTACCAAACTTTGTCTCCCATTGTTTAAGGTAGAATTTTTTTGTCTAGATTAACTCACTAAGCCTTTCTGTGATCATTGTTTCTAAACCTTTAATGCTAATCTGATGGCATCATTTAAGTTCCAATATGGTTGTAGTTGAACAACATCTGCAATTTCAACATTGAGACCTCTAAGATAATGAGCTATAGTTTGCTCTTCTAGTTCCTGGACATTGCACTACATGTGAAGTTGCTCGAACTCCACTGTATATTTTTCCATCGATATTGGTCTCTATCTCAAGTTATGAAATTTTATAAAAATTTCTTATCGATAATGCTGAGAAAGGAACTTACGCTTGAGTTCTCGATGCATCTTATCCCATATTCTGATCTTGTTATGACTTTCTTTTTCTCATTGGCTTTTGAGATTTTCCCATCAGAGAAAGGTGGGCTTCTTCAATATAATTACAGCTAGCTTCATACGTTTTTCATCAAGAATATCTCTGAGCTCAAAAACTCTTTGCAGTATATAGAGCTTGTCAAGAAAATCATCAAGGTAATGCATTCTTTCAAACTCATGAATGTCTACCTTGATTCCTAAATCTTTATTAGCAACAATTCTTAGACAACGTATAGGCATTTCTTCATTAGAAGACAATTTCTGATGGAAAGGATTAGCATTATTATCTTCATCGATGGAGCTACTATTTTTGATTTAAGTAGCATCATGCCTTATGAGTTGCTTGTGACAGACTCAATGGAGTGAAAACATCAAAACGCAGACCTAACGAATACCAAAACTAGTTTGTCTATAAACAACCCTTGCCACGCACCTATATGATCTATTTATTTGCAGATGGTACACAAATGGGTAACTACTATAATACTCAATGAGTGGTCAAGATAAAGAAAATCATATACATATATACCATATAATAAATATTGCATTCTCAGTGCAACCACATAATCCAACAAACATTTCCAAACATAGGGCATATTATTATCCATGAAATCTCCAATGTGAGGGCATACCATCATCCTCAATATCTCCAAAGATCATCACACATATCATCAGGCTTACCCTCGAAGCCAATCCAAGTTATTCAAATCATTCTCCACAACACACCTTAGTTGTCGAAGGATCACATGAAGTCCATCTCGTATTTTTCTAAGCCTTTCCATGGCAATCTCATGTCATATACAAATTAAATCAATAAGTGGTCCTTCCTTAGCCACAATCAAATCATGCTTAGTGCCCAATTGACAGAGAATCAAATCATGCTCAAGGCAAAGCCATTAGCAGAGAATAGATTAAGTGCAAGCCGAAGCAATGGGTAGAGAACAAATCACACACAGTGCCAAAGAAACTAGTAGAGAATCAAAGTCATTGATTAGAGTAATCTCCCAATGGTCGGCATCACTCAAAGTATTCTCAAATGAGTAGCATCAAAGCATTAAGGCGGGAATCACAAGCGGGACTAATAGCACTATTCTTGCTTGCCACCATCCTTGTAGGCATACACATAGTCATAGTGGATTGGAACTCCATTCATCCATAAATCAAATCAACATCCAGAATTCATCCTTTAAATGGAAACACATATCTTCCAATAAGGCCATAATGCCTTTATCATTAACATTTTCCTTATTGAACCTTAATTCACATTTATCAAGCTTCATTCATCTTTAAGCTTGACTAGGTTCTAAGTGCCTCTAAATCTGCAAGGCATCACTGGATCAATTTCTTTTAACATATCCTTTGCCTAGGGAAATATACTATTAGGGTTCATTATAGCTTCTAGACATCCGAATCTAAGTATACACACATAGGCCACCTATGTGGCTCACATCATAGCACACAAACACCTATTCCACGGTTTGATTCTTTAGCCTAAGCACTTACATCTAGGCAATCATATATATATATATATATATATACACACACACACATTCTAATACCATGGCGATGTTTTCATCAACGCATCATGCATCACATGCATTTTAATTCAAACCTACACACAGTGACAATTGAAGGTAATCCCACCACTGAGCTCAACTTTAGATTTTAATCATCCTCTAGCTCACTAACACATCTAATTACTTCATTTCCTCCTTAGAACACATCAAACATCCCATTGCTAATTAAATCTTGGCTTTCGAAAAATGCCAATATTTTCACAATTAACAAAATCTTAGCCATCCAACTAATTAAGCTCAAACTCTTCATTAATGATCAGAACCCATACCTTAGAATTTAGACTGCATGAATCTTGGCTCCAAATTCTACTTAAATCGAGGGAGATTCACCAAAGCTGAAAAACGTAGATTTCTTAGAATCTAGTCAATTAAATTGAGAAAGAATCAGTAAATATGTTTAATCTTACCTCTAAAGGTGTTTCCCAAGCTCAAATTAACTCTAAATAGCTCCAAGAATTTGTTTGGGGCCTTGGGGTTTGAAGATGGTAGCGAGAGAAAGAGTTTAGTAGTTTTTGGTAAATGGAAAAAAATGCACATGAACCTCCTTTTATTTTTGCCTTTGCTTAGTGATGTATCGATACATTGGCAATGTATTGGTACATCTACTTTAATTTCAAGTAAATTTATTGAGACATTGAGGCAATGTATTGATACAATTTAGACAGAATGTTCATTGCCCAACCATGTATCGATACATGAGGGAAATGTATTGATACTTTTTTTCCTTGGGTACCCTTTATTTCAAATGTATCGAAACATTAAGGTAATGTATTGATACATGTTCATCTTTAGTCAAATTTATCAATACATTCTTGAATGTATTGATAGAAAATCTTTTAGAGGTCTTTATTTTTCATCTTGCTAACAATGTATTGATACATGAGGGGATGTATCGATACATCTTCCCTTATAGGTAGTTTTAAGCTTCCAAAACTTTCAAAAATCCAAGTTTAACATCCTAAAGTCATTCCCTATTAATATCACACCTGAAATCATTCATTTAACTTAATCCCATGCACATAAATTTACAGACATAACATCAAACTTAGATCAAAATCTCAAACTATGGGATTTGTCACATATCTCCTTAAAATTTGCCAAATTGTCAACATATACACTTTCAAACACTTGGCGTGCAAAGCACATCATTGAAATCCTCAAAGTACCATGTATTTCATAATTCACTCTCAATTAACTTAATTTACACCAAAAAGTGGGGGTGTTACAGCAATTATGGTAGTGGTGATATGGCGATGATATGGTGATGACGATGTGGTGATGTAGGAAAAAATTAAGACAGAACTATAAAACTATAAACAAATAAAATTACCTTAACAAGGAAAGTTGAAACTCGACAACGAACTCAAACTACGCAACAAACAATGATCCTCCCACTCTAATACCAAATTGATGTCGAAGGGCTGTGAAAACACTTGGACATTATGAAAACCATCAATTGTGGCGAGGTTAGAAACCCCACTAAGGTGAACACCAATCTTGGCAAGGTTAGAAAACCCCACTAAGGTGAATAATAGCCAAAATCCTACTTTGGTTGGCCAAACCAAAGATAGTAAAATCTCTTATTCTTTTGAAAAGAGCCTATAGAAAATAAGCACTCTTGCTTATTAAAGAATATATTTTTTATTAATTCTCAACTTCAATTGTGTCTAAGAATTAACTCAAAAGGGCTTTATATAACTATTCCTAAGAAGAAAGTCTTCTTACTTTTTCTATGTGGGATTATTATAATTCATAAAAATAAATAAATAAGAAAGTAACCTAACCTAAGCTTTCTTTGAATATAAATAAAGTAAAAGAGAACTTAACCAAGCTTAACTTAACATGCAAGTATCCTAAATAATATACCCTTATATTAAGTTTTGAGGAAAATTGAGGAGAATATGCGTGCACACTTAATTTTATACCTTGTTAAATAGTGACCTTTTCGAGAGGAGTCAATCAAGGATAAACTCTTCTTGTGTAGCTATATGAAATATTCAAGAATTTTTTTAAAGTGTATTTTCTATTAATAATCTCTGTATATGATAATATAAAAAATGTCTATCAATTTTTTTTTTTCAAAAATAAAGTGACTTCTTTCATTACCAACGAGGGAAAGAATTTTCCCCCTCCTTCCAAAGAATCATCTGTCAAATGTACAAAAGACCTACTTTTCAAGAAAAAATGTATAAATGGCCTAGGGCACAAAGCGAATGAGTATACTTTTACAAAACCCCTCAAGAGCACTTGTCCATTGCAACAATAGAACCCATGTCCCTACCTTCCTACCCGTTAAACTAACCCAAAAAACACATTGACCTTACACTTTACATCTAAGTGATAGTCATATAACAAAAATTTATTTGTGACCAGCCATTTCCATATAAAGAATCCAAATTCATAAGAGGAGAAGAACCTTTGTACCTTGGAAATGCAGAAAACATATTACCCCAATTTATCCATTGTATTACATTTTAGGTTTTTGGGAGTAATCATAATTATATTCCAAAGGTTCTATGTACATGCCTGTTCCTTGTTTGCCCAACATTATCACACTATCACCAAACAAAAGACGGAAGCAGATTGAAGAGAATGCTTTATCTTCGTTTCTCCATTTTTGTCTTGCAAAAAAAAAAAAAAACCACAAAAATTCTGAGCAGGAAGGAGAGAGTTATTCCATCTGAACTTCCAACGGAGAAAAGATTTGAAGGGAAAAGTTGTTGGGAGCCGGTATGAGAGTTTGACTCTTACAAGGCAGAAATACGTCCTCCGGAAATTGCAGGATTAATGGGCGATTAAAGAAGTCAGTGTTCCAAACAAACCTGAAATAAGAAGTGATATAGTAAGAAAATTCTAATGTCTTGACAGAATCTTAGCATAAGGGGCATACCCAAGTGTTTAAAAGAAAGGAGCCCTTTGAGGGATTCCCTTTCTTTTGTGCTTTGGTTGCTCAGTTTTCAACAGTAGCTCCTTTCGTTTCTCCTTGTATGGGGACTGGATGGAAAGAAAGGGAGGAGCTGAATCACTTGACTTCCTCTCAAATGCTATGACCTGATAAAGTTTAAATTCAGTGAAAGCCGAAAGCAGTGACCTGAAAATCCCAAACTAACTACGTACCTTGCAAGAAATAGAGCAGTAGCGATACAGATCTGGTTCAGCTAACCTTCTGTTGCAGATGTCACATGATGTCTCGTTTTTTGATGTTGGACCGCAATGGGGAAGAGGATTCAAAGCTATAACCAGTCGTTTGTTGCACTTATATGGCTAAAGCCCACGACGAGGAGGACCGTAGAGACAGACAAATAGTATATATTAGCTACGAACAGGTCTAAGCAACTCAAATCAATTAAAATGGTGTTGGGATGAGAAAGTTTACGACCCTCTGGAGACTAATTGTACGGCCTCCAAACATGGTGAGCTCCATCAAATTACATTGAATTATTTCCCATTTTGACCGTAATTAATGAAGGCAATTGATGGTACCTGAATTTCAGCACAGTCGATGTACTTCTCCATGGCAGAAAGCGATACAACATCCTTGTAGACATGTCTATAGATTTTCAGAATCGTGTGATGGGGATGAGTGGTGCAAGTCATGCAATATTGGCAGGCAGATGCGTCGCAGTTGATACAATACCTGTTCTTCTCATTCCTCCGAATTGGATGAACTGAGCAAGAATCAAAGAAAGTTCTTTGCAGAAAAGCTTCAAGCCACTCTGGCTTTTCATTTTGGTTTTGCGCAACCTGAAATGCCCATCCATGCCGCCAGTAAGACAAATATTTGCTTTAATTTTCAGAATTCAATTTTAGCAGAAGCCCTTTGATTTCAAATTTTTCTCTTTTTATTAATTAAGGATTTGAAAATATATAAACTTTTAAAAATAAAAATAATCCATTTAATTCATTTCGAAAAACTTTTTCATATTTTAATACACTCAGTCCTCTGAAAAGTGTAATTTTGTGGAGAATTAAAATTAATTTTAAATAAAAAGATAAATATAACTTCTATTAATTATTTATTTTTGTTTTTTCTCTTCTCTTTTCTTTTACGCTCAAGACTTTATTAATTACAAAATAATGAAATTTTAGTTAATTGTGAGAGTTAAATAATTTTAAAATAATCTTTGATATACTATCAAATTATATTTTTAAGTAATTTATATTATAATTCAATTACATTTTAAATTTATTACACTCAACTTTAATTCAACTATATATTTACTTTGAGATGAATGCATTAAATAATAAATAAAATATGAAACGAAGAAATAATAAATAACAAAGGAGTGTACTTATCTTTTTATTTAAATGTAACTTGATAATTAACACTATTATTTATTCAAAAAAAAAAGATAAATGTATTTTCAACTAGACCTCGGTGGAGAAATACCAAGTACTTCTCTATGTTTCCTCCTTGCCGAACGGCCCATTGCATCGACAACCTCTCTTATTACAAAATCCAGTTCCAGATTTTAAAGTCTTAGAACAATATTTCAGAATCCAAGACCAGAGAATTAGAATGAATCAAATTTGAAAACTTGATTTTGGTGTTGTTGAAAACTTAATAGAGTACTAGTATTCACATTTTTGGTGGTGTTGGGAACTTGAAATTGCAACCTAAGGTAAGGATGGGATTAGGTGGTACGTAAGGGTGCAAGTAACATTTCCTATATGTTTTATGAAGAATGGAAACTTCTGCCTCAAGTTCATGCCCCCCTGCTACCCCACATGCCAAATCTTCTCACATTGCATAAGTTAAAGTTAATATTAAACTTTCATTGAAAAATTTTTCTCCATCTACTCGTGGCCGAAACACTCGAATTCCCTCATTCATCCTTCGAACTCCCTTACCTTCTCTTCCAAATCTTGTCAATGGTTTGAATTTGAGTTTCTTCCATTTGATTATGTTCAATGGTTTGACTGCACCAAACAATAGAAATTGTTTTCTCTTTTAAAAAATATGGTTTACGAAGATTTCTTGTTAAGCATGACGAAAGTTTGCTATTAACATAAAACGTTCACTTTTCTTTAATTATATTATGTTGCAAGAACCTGCTAAAATCGATAGGTTAATATATGAAACCTTAATTAATAGAAATATTAAATGTTGAGGACATTATAAATATTTGCTTATCTCGCGTACACACACTCCCTCACAGATACGCATACAGGCATACAATACCCGGGCACACACACACATATATATTATATAATTGTGTCTTCATAAATAGTAGTTAGAGGAAATAATCTCTTTCTCTAAATAGTAGAGCTCAAATTCCTCTTTTCCAAATAAAAAAAATTTATTATCAATCATTTTATATTTTATTAAATAATTGTAGAAAGAAACTTAAAAAAAGAAAATTAGTTAATTTAATTTAAAAAACTTTTGATATTCTACTAATGAGTGAATTTATCTAAAATAGCAGGGAAAATGAAAAGTTATAAGATATTATTTATAACTTTTCATTGTATATATATATATATATATATATATATATGGGTAGGAAAGGGAAAAGTTATATTGTGGTTTCAATCTTTTCATATTCTACTAATTTTAATTTCAAAATAAAATTTAAAAAAATTAATTAAACGGCTTTTATTTTAAATTTATGTACGAGATTTACTAAATGATATAATTTTATCCAGTGTACTTAGGCTTGGTTTTGAAAGTTGGAGGCTCGATAGGCTCTACCCAACCCGACCAATAGACACTTATATCTGATTTCTTTTATTTAACATCGAAAATGTTTAGTGCCAGAAGAAGATGGAGTTTTACTACACTGATATTTCATTTTCATAGGAAAACTATGAGCATAGCTAATAGGGCTTTCTATCCTTTGAAGGTTATAAGAGCAGCAAAATATATCATATGGATTAATTCATAGAATTTAGACTAACATTGCGTGACAGCAAAGACGTGAATCCGTGTTGGTTTTAAAGACAGGAAGAGCACTTCAGTGATGCTTCATTTAATTCTATCATAGCATTTACACGTTTATGTGACTAAATATACTACATTTTATACTTGATGTAGGCTTATTTGAGTGAACACTATTAAATTCTTTTATATTTGGGAATAAAACCCAACACAGTTGTAATTATTGATAGATTATTTTACAACCTACTAATAAACATCACAACAAGAAAATTTTAATATGACTAAACAAATTAATTCTCTCTAAGACGTCATTCATAAAAAGAACTAATGAACAATTTTCTTTTTCAATATATGTGTATATATATATATATATATATATATATCCATACCTGGGGTACAAATTTGGAGGACGCACTCATGAGAGCCTTGTTTTGAAACTGAAATGATGAATTGATGAAAAAGGATTAGGTAGTGAGCCTCGTAGGATAATTGATATGTGAAGGGAGGCCAAGGAAAGAAATTGGGGTAAGATATTAGGTGGCAAAAGAAGTCATTTTTCACTTTCACTCGGATTTTGACGAGGAAGTGTGGTGATGGATTCGATGGAATCGAGGTGCAAATAAGGCAGTTGATGCCTTTCGTATTTCAGTCCTCGAGACTAGAGAGTGACTATGTTAAGTGGCATGTGTTGATATGGTAGTGGTTAAAGTGTCTTTAATCACATGAAGCCAAAATTTGTCACAATTCTTTTGCTATAATAAATATTTCCATCAGTTATTAACCATTATTGGCTCTCTGTATTGATTTTACATTAATGAAGTCACCATACTTGTTGAGAGATTTATGGTGTGAAAAATTATTATACATATTTTTTATAGCTTTTTTTAAGTAAAAAATTCAATATTTATTATTAAATTAAAGGTTTGAATGTCGTATTTTTTATTTCTTTCTTCAAACCAAATAACTATACTATACCTTTTAACTCACAAAAATTTGAATGCTGAGGGTTTAAAACATTTTATGGCAGATTATGCACAGTGAAAATTTAAAATTTTACAATCCCCTAAGCCCTTGATCACTTTAATTGAAAATAATCTATCAAACTACAAGAGTGGAATTTCGACATATACCAAAAAACCTATAGCTGAATAACCTTTGGTGGTGTCCTTCTTGGATTTTGTTTGTGACTTGTTGCACACCAATTAGGATTGACCAAAACCACAATAGCACAAATGTCTTACCTTTAATGGAGATCCACACAGTGTATTACAAAAATCTCTTCACTTAGAGTGAGTGAATCCCGTAGCCAAAGTTTGTGCTAGAAAACTCTTAGTTTTGAGCTACCTTGTGTTTCTCTATTTTGGTTGTGATCCTATCTTAACACATAAGAGACTAAAGTCATATCGTTTTCTTTCTTATGTATCAAGGTGTGGCTGAAAGGTCTTTTTATAAAAAAAATAGACATGCCTCAAATCCGTAAAAGATTATTAGCTATCTTGAGCTAATTGGACCTTTGTATCTCTATACAAATTTAATTAACTTTCAGACTTATGTGTAACTAGGCCCAATTGTATTGAAGCCCATAAATTAAGTCTATATCAAAGCTTGAGAAGTCAACCCAAGCATCGGCTAAATTCCCCATGTTTTTCTTAAGAAATCAGCAAACCCCTTTCTGCAGGGTTTTGGCCAATTTCTCCCATAGACTTGTCCATATTAAATATCATTTGAATAGCCCATTACTTAATCAAATTAAGCCTAAGTAAAGTCAATTAGACCATATCTAATTAAATTAATATTAATTTAGAATTCAACCTTATGTGTGTGACCCATTAAGTTTTTAATTATGTTGGCAATGAGTAAAATTGTAATTCCAAATCATACTTAGAATTAGATAAACAAAATCTCTATTTGATTAATCCTCAATTCCCAATTGATCAATTTATACTCATAGACCAACATTGGTGTCTAGCAACACATCATGGCTCTAATTACTAGAAAGGTCAATATGGTTTGACCAACCTAATTAGTGCATAGCTTATTAATGTAATTCAATCCCATAATCATGTACTCTCCATGTCTTTCAATGTTTGCTATTGACCTTGAAATTTGCTCAGTGAAGATTCCCTAAAAACTCATTTTTCCCAAATCCTCATTATACCTTGGCCAAAGATTTGCATAAGAGCAAATACAAGTTAACTAGTATACAAGATACTTCCCATTGCTTATCACTTAAGGTGATGATTCCCCTTTGGACAATTGATATACCTCCATAAAATACATGCTATACCTAACGACACCCTTTTTGGGTATCCTTGATTAAGACTTGGAGAAATGGAATCAAAGTAACGCTTCTTATACAAGATCACTATAGTTCATACATCTAAAGATCATTTACACAACTGTCACTAGAGAACTATGCTCATAGACGCATGAGTGAGACACTAAATGGAATTTTCATGTTAGATCATTTTCAGTAAACTTGTTCTAGTTTGAACAAGCACCCACATGTTTGTTCTAAGTATCCTTATACTATCAATCTATGAGATCGATTGCCCACCTAAGTAAGGAACATAACATGTTCTGGCCTTTGAGCATTATAGATACCCCTTTTCTATAATACAATGGCTACAAACATTTAGGAGGTGTACTTTGTATTGAAGTTGGATCTTTGTGCATGCATGTGATTGTGTAAATTATGACTTTTAAAAATTTTCTAATTACAGAAGCAAGCAATCCAAATATAAAAGCAAAACTTCACACCAAGCATTAAGCACATTGATTTAATCAAATCAAAAAATCAAAAATCAAGATAGTATAGGAAATCATACCTTTTTATTGTGAGAATCTTGAATCTTGCCTCCTAGTGAATTATAGTAAATTCACCACCACACCAAGGATTGATTTCTCAACCAAACAAACTTACAATGTATTCTTCACGAATCTATTCAACTTGAACCTTAAGTGGACAAGGTGTGGAATGCTAAATAAAAATGGTAACTCAATTGTTTCTCTATAACACCCTTTTTTTTTTGACATGGAGCTAAGTTATTGAAGAGTGAAATTTGAACCTTGATGTGTATTCTTGTGGAGTATGTGTATGAACTATATTTTAGGAAGAATGATCTTGCAATTCTTGTATATTTGGAGACTTCTTTAATGATATGTGGATGTGTTAAGTGTAGGAACCATGCCTTATGATACTTAGGCAACAATTTTATGAACATATTTAAGGAATCCAATGGTGTGATGCTTAGATTGAAGCTCTGATCTTATGTTTGAGTATTTAACTAAATATTTGAGTCATATATGAATGGTTTGAGGTTGTGGAGGAGATTTAGAATGGGTTTCAGCTTTAAATGGAGCAATTTTTATGAATCTAGACTAAAAAAGTTGATCCTATTGCATAAAGGGTCATTCCTGTGAAATAAAATATAAGGGAAGTCATGCATTATGACCCAAGATAAACTATAAGCCCTTTTTAGTTTATCCTAGGTAGGAAAAATGGGAGAAATGCAAACTTTTTGGTCCAAGATCGACTATAGACCCTCCACAATCGACCTTATATTGCTAGACTTTCCAAAATCGAGCTTAAAAGCCCTAAACCTGATTTTTCCCTTCATTTTCTTCTTTTCTTGTATTCTCCCATCAATTTATCCCAAAGCTTACACCTTCATACCCATGAGTCTTGAACAAAAAATCAAGGATTTTAGGTATTGAAATTAGGGGTTTTATTCCTAAAAAGTTTGGTTTGTGATTTTCACTTTCTTTTTCTAAAACCTAAAACCCTAACCCCCCCCCCCCCCCCTTAAATTGATTTTTGAAGCAGTTGGAGTTATTTAGAGTAAATTTGGAGGTTGGGAAATGCTTCTAAAGGTAGTATTAAGCATTTCTAGTGATTGATTTTCAATTTAAATGGTTGATAACTTAGATTTGATTTGGTCCAACTTCGAAGAAATTAGCCTTTTAAGCTGATTAAGGATTTGGGCTAAATAATTGTACAATCCAACTTTTAAGGTATGGGTTTATCTCATTATAGAAGGATTTGAGCTTATACATTGGATTGCTAAAGATTGGATTATTTTTAGAGAAGTTGTCATTTTTTGAAACTCCTGTATTAACTAGTTTCAAGATGTTTTGATATGCTTAAGGGAAGAATGAGCAATTTGGGCACATTTCTGAGTAAAAATACAGTTGGAGGTTAAGAATCAATGTTTGGCTGTGGAATACCTCTAATTTGTCTTTGTGAGTGGGTTAATTAAATGCACGTGATGCATAACGCATGGAAAATGTGCTACACTGGTACTATTTTATGAATGTAGGCCTAGTTGAATATGCCTAGGTTAGAGAACTATGTATATACATATGTGAATGTAATTGCCTAGATAGGTGTACCTAGGCTAGTATATTGTGAATTTACATGTTGGTATATGTGTTTGCTTGTGAATGACATTAGGAAGCATGAGCTGTTAAACATCTAGGTGATGTATGATTTTATTGGCTACTAGATATGTTGTGACTAAATCAGTGTGATGGTGATACTATGATGTGGGATTAGATTGCCTATTTGTTGACAGAATATTGATGCATGATCTAATGTGATAATATTCATGTATATGTGGCTATTAGGCCATGATTAAATTAAAATGAGATTGTTGATGTATATGTAGCCAGTGAGCCATGATTAATGAGGCACTTAAAATTAATGAGCTTATCAACAAATGAAGCTAGATAAATGTGATTATTTCTATGTTGTGGACATATGGAAGAATAGAGACATGATGGTTTTATTGTGGAATTGTGTTTCGTTCGAGGAATGAATTCCGGACGTTGATTTAACTTGAGGTTAAGTGGGTCCTGTTACCTTATGACTTTGTGTGTGTATGTAGGGATGGTGATACACGGGGGTTATGGTTTAGTCCCACTTGTGATTCCCCTTTGCAATGTTGTGATGCTTTTAGTCGAGAGATTAGTCTAGGCAATGCCGCTTACGAGAGGTTGCTTCGAGCAATGCCAACTGTTAGGAGATTACTCTAGTTGATGATTTGATTTTCCACTAGTTGCTTTGCACTAGGCGTGATTTGATTCTCTGCCCATTGCTTCGACTCACGCATGACTTGTGTTTTGCCAGTGGCTTTGCCCTATGCGTCATTTGTTCCTCCACTAGCTAGCCACCGTGTGTTATTGACTATGTCTAGGGGAAGACCATTTGATGATCTACCATGACGTGAATTGATTTGTATACGACATGTGATAGCCTTGGAGAGGCCTAAATAAACATGATATGAATCGATATGATATTCTAGGGACTATATTGTGCTGTGGAATATGATGTGATTGGCTTTCAATTGGCTTTGAGAGTAAGCCTAATGACGTGTGTGATGATCTTTGAGGATGTTGAGGATGATGATATACTCTCATA